GGCCGCCAGCACCGGAGCGCATGCACTTAACCGCTAAGCCACGGGGCTGGCCCTATTTACAGGTTTTTAAAATAGCTTTCTTGAGATATAATTCACATACTATGCAATTTACCCATTTAAAGTGTACAATTAAATGGTTTTGTGTGTGTGTATATATATATATATATATATATATAGACATCTGCAACCATCACTACAGTCAATTTAGAACATTTTCATCACCTCAAAAATAAACTCCCTACTCTTTAGCTATTACCACCCCCTTTCCCGTTGTCCCCCCTCCCAGACCTATGCAACCACTAATCTACTCTCCGTTTCTATAGGTTTCCTTTTTCTGGACATTTCATGTAAATGGAATCATACCATATGCAAATGGGTTTTTTCAGTTAGCATAATGTTTTCAAGCTTCTTCCAAGTTGTAGCGTGTATCAGTACTTCGTTCCTTTTTATGGCCAAATAATATTCATCAGCTGATGGACATTTGGGTTGTTTCAAGCTTTTGCTGTTATGAATAATGCTGCTGTAAACATTTTGTTTACAAGTTTTTGTGTGGACATATATTGTCATTTCTCTTGATTATATACTTGGGAGTAGAATTGCTGGGTCATATGGTAATTCTATGTTTAATCATTTAGGAATTGCCAGAATATTTTCCAAAGCAGCTGGCTGCACCATTTTGCATTCTCATTAGGCTTCCATTTTCCCCCATATCCTTGTCAACACTTGTTGTTTTCTGTTTTTTTGCTGCTACTCATCTTAGTGGGTGTGAAGTGGTATCTCATTGTGGGTTTGATTTGCATTTCCCCTGATGACAAATGATGTCAAACATCTTTTCATGTGCTTATTGGCCCTTTGTATATCTTCCTTGGAGAAATGTCTGTTCAGATCCTTTGCCCATTTTTTTATTGGGTTATCTTTTTATCATTAAGTTGTAAGAGCTCTTTATATATTGTAGATACCAGTCTCTTATTAGATATGTGTTTTGTGAAAATTTTCTCCCCATTCTGTGGGTTGTTTTTTCACTTTCTTGATGATGTCCTTTGAAGCACATAAGTTCTTAATTTTGATGAAATCCAATTTTATCTGTTTCTTTTGTGTCTTGTGCTTTTAGTGTTGTATGTAAGAATTCTTTGCCAAATCCAAAGCCATTAAGATTTGGCTCTGTGTTTTCTTTTAAGAGTTTTGTAGTTTTAGCTCTTAATTTAGGTCTTTGATTCATTTTGAGTTATTTTTTTTATATTGTCTGAGATAAGCATCCAGCTTCGTTCTTTTGCATATGGCTATGCAGTTTTCACAGCACCATTTGCTGAAAAGACTGTTCTTTCCCTGTTGGATGGTCTTGGCAGCCCTGTTGAAAATCAGTTGACCATAGATGAAGGTTTAAAACGTTTTTTTAATAGCCTAACTATATTTTAGCTTTCATACTGTTTGGATTTCTCTTTCACAGATAGTTCCATCATTAAAGGAGGATTGTGCTTATTTTTAAGTAGGCTTTTAGGGATGTTTGTGTAATTTTAGTACTACTTCATGTACCACGGGCTTAACCTAGAAAAATGCACAATTTGCACACATGAAACTGCTGTTCTGATCATGAAAGTTGACTTTGGAAAACCATGTTTCTATTACTGACAGTGACATTTTGGCTTCCTTTTTGCTAGTGCTTCCTGAGTGCCAGGCACTATGCTGGTATAGGGCTTACAAAGAAGTATATGACAATCTCTTTCTCAAGTTGCTAATTGTAAGACATTGGGAGCAGAGAGAGGAAGGGAGTAAAATAACATGGGAATAACCACGTAGGGTTTTTTTAGTACATAAAAGTATATTTGGGGTCTGTATAGGTTGTACAGCTGTTTTCACTCTAGTATATGGTTTTTAGTATTACTTTTTTTTCTTTAATTAAACATTTTCTTAAGACCAAGAATCTTTTTTTGTTTTTTGTTTTTTGTTTTTTGTGAGCAAGATCAGCCCTGAGCTAACATCCTTGCTAATCTTCCTCTTTTTTGCTGAGGAAGAACGGCTCTGAGCTAACATCTATTGCCAATCCTCCTCCTTTTTTCCCCCAAAGCCCCAGTAGATAGTTGTTATGTCATAGTTGCACATCCTTCTAGTTGCTGTATGTGGCACGCAGCCTCAGCATGGCCGGAGAAGCGGTGCGTTGGTGGGCGCCCGGGATCCGAACCCGGGCTGCCGGTAGCAGAGCGCGCGCACTTAACCGCTAAGCCACCGGGCTGGCCCCAAGACCAAGAATCTTAAATTGAAATCGTTTGCTTTCCCAGGGCTCTAATTTAGGATGTGAGTACCATGGATGCTGCTGAAAAGAAATGAATGATAAAGAAATACTACTAGATAGCTCGATGCTTTCTGTTTAAAGCTCTGGGAAAGTCTATTATGGATCACAAAATTGCTGAGGCTGATCAGACGGGATCATTAAATTCTTTTAGTGTTTTTTCTTTTATGCCTTCTTAGGAACTCAACAGGATCTTTCCTTAAATTAGCTGGAAATGAATAGTTTAATTTGAAGCATTTTTTACTAATGAACCTTTTTCTCTTAATGTCACTATATAATTTTATGTCCCTTTTTCTTAGGAGTCTCAGCAGTCCAATTTTGGCCCTGGAGAACAAAGTGAGTATTTCTTTTCTTCTTGGTTTTCAAATTAAGCTGTTTATTGAGCATTCATTTCTCATGGTCACATCATATATTGCTTTAATAATTCTTTGGCGTGTCTTGTCCCAGTTTTTACGATCTGATGATTAGTAATGGGTTGAACTGAATCTTGGTGTGCTTAAAAATGAAGAATTATAGATCGTTGGAGATCAGAGTTAACTATTTTTTATTAAGTTTTTGAACTAAGAGTTCAAAGTTTATGAATTGAGTTTGATGGGCACCTCGTAAACCCAAGAGCCATTCTGTCTTTCCATCTCCTTCATGAAGATACTTGGTTCTACGATGGTAAAACTCCAGGCAAGTTTTAAAGTTTAAATGACTTTTAAAGTTTAAAGTTTAAATGACCCTCCAAGGGGTCATTATAGTTTACTATGGCTCTTCTCTTCCTATATCGATATTTATTTATTCTTCCTGGGTCTTCTGGTCTGGGAAGAAAGTCTGCTGTCTGCTACACAACTCCCCTCCACCTGTACTCTGTTGGCCTCTCAGAAGAACGTGAGGGCAAGATAGCCTTAGGGAATTCAAGTGTGGTCCCAAGAGATGATGGCTGTGTAAATTGATAGTGGTAAGGTCAGGAACCTTTGCAAATATCTGGGCTTCCTCATATAGCTCTGTAACAAAACAAATGTTCTATTTGTCAAGAGCAATAAATTCTTAAATATGTTGGATTTACACTGATAATAAGCAATAAGCTATTTTGAGAGATAAAAATGTGGAACTTTTTGATCCTTAGTTTGTTGTCTTTAGTGATGTTAGAGAGACAAAAAACTAGGAGACTATCCCTCTTAATGTTAACAAACTTTATCTATCTATATATCCGTTTCTTAGTTCTGCCTTAAAGCTGTAGTTAGAGGAAAAAGGGACCCGATATTGTTGATATGCAGAAAATAGCTAGCTGTAGGCCAGAAAGTTTACATTTTCTCTCTTAAAATCTTTTAAGAATGTCTCATCCTCGCTTCTACCCTTCTCTCCACATTCTCTCTCCCCAAAGCTAGCTATTGGCAAATGGGATCATAAGCTGCACCTACTCTTTATTACACTTAATTTATTTTAGAACTGTTTTTATATCAGTATAAAGCTCTAGCTCATTCTTTTTAACATTAAAATTGTGTTATATAGGCTAACCTCATTTTATTGCACTTCACAGATAATGCACTTTTTACAAATGAAAGGTTTGTGGCAACCTTGTGTCGAGGAAGTCTATCAGTGCCATTTTTCCAACAACATTTGCTTACTTTGTGTCTCTGTGTCACATTTTGGTAATTCTCACAATATTTGAAACTTTTTCATTATTTTTATGTTTGTTATGGTGGTCTGTGATCAGTGATCTTTGATGTTGCTATTGTAATTGTTTTGGGGCACCACGAACTGCACGCATATACGATGGCCAGCTTAGTCAATAAAAGTTGTATGTGCTCTGACTGCTCCACTGACCTGTTATTTCCCTGTCTCTGTCCTCCTTGGGCCTCCCTATTCCCTGAGCCACAACAATATTGAAATTAGGCCAATTAATAACCCTACAGTGGCCTCTAAGTGAAAGCAAGAATCACATATCTCTCACTTTAAATCAAAAGCTAGAAATGATTAAGGCATGTTGAAATGAGAAAGGCATGTTAAAAGCCAAGATAGGCCAAAAGCTAGGCCTCTTGCACTAAACAGTTAGCCAAGTTGTGAATGCAAGGGAAAAGCTCTTGAAGGAAATTAAAAGTGCTACTCCAGTGAACACACGAATGATGAGTAAGCAAAACAGCCTTATTGCTGGTATGGAGAAAGTTTTAGTGGTCTGGATAGAAGATCAAACCAGCCACAACATTCACTTAAGGCAAAGCCTAATCCAGAGCAAGGCCCTAACTCTCATCAATTCTGTGAAGGCTGAGAGAGGTGAGGAAGCTGCAGAAGAAAAGTTTGAAGCTAGCAGAGGTTAGTTCATGAGGGTTAAGGAAAGAGGCCATCTCCATAACGTAAAAGCGCAAGATGAAGCAGCAAGTGCTAATGTAGAAGTTGCAGCAAGTTATCCAGAAGATCTAGCTAAGATAATTAATGAAGGTGGCTACACTAAACATAGATTTTCAGTGTAGACAAAACAGCCTTCTATTGGAAGAAGATCCTATCTACTAGGACTTGCATAGCTGGAGAGGAGAAGTTAATGCCTGGCTTCAAAGCTTCAAGGGACAGGCTGACTCTCTTGTGAGGGGCTAATGCAGCTAGTGACTTTAAGTTGAAACCAGTGCTCATTTACCGTTCCAAAAATCCTGGGGCACTTAAGAATTATGCTAAATCTGCTCTGCCTGTGCTTTATAAATGGAACAACAAGCCTAGATGACAGCGCATCTGATTACCACATGGTTTACTGAATACTTTAAGCCCGCTGTTGAGACCTACTGCTCAGAAGAAAACATTCCTTTCAAAATATTGCTCTCACTGACAATGCACCTGGTCACCCAAGAGCTCTGGTGGAGATGCACAACGAGATGAACATTGTTTTTATGCCTGCTAACACAACATCCATTCTGCAGCCCATGGATCAAGGAGTCATTTTGACTTTCAAATCTTATTATTTAAGAAATACATTTTTGGGGCTGGCCCCATGGCTTAGCAGTTAAGTGCACGCGCTCCACTACTGGCGGCCCAGGTTCGGATCTGGGCGCGCACCAACACACCGCTTGTCCGGCCATGCTGAGGCGGCGTCCCATATACAGCAACTAGAGGGATGTGCAACTGCGACATACAACTATCCCCTGGGGCTTTGGGGAGAAAAAGGGAAAAAAAGGAGGAGGATTGGCAATAGATGTTAGCTCAGGACCGGTCTTCCTCAGCAAAAAGAGGAGGACTGGCATGGATGTTGGTTCAGGGCTGATCTTCCTCACACAAAAAAAACAAAGAAGCAGAGAAGAAATAGATTTTGTAAGGCTGTAGCTGCCATAGTGATTCCTCCAGTGGATCTGGGCAAAGTCCATTAAAAACCTTCTGGAAAGGATTCACTTTTGTAGATGCCGTTAAGAACATTCGCGATTCATTGGAAGAGGTCAAAATGTCAACATTAACAGGAGTTTGGAAGAAGATTCCAACGGATGACTTTGAGGGGTTCAAAACTTGAGTGGAGGAAGTAACTGCAGATGTGGTGCAAATAGCAAGAGAACTAGAATTAGAAGTAGATCCTGGGGCCGGCCCCGTGGCTTAGCGGTTAAGTGCGTGCGCTCCGCTGCTGGTGGCCCAGGTTCGGATCCCGGGCGCGCACCGACGCACCGCTTCTCCGGCCATGCTGAGGCCGCGTCCCATATACAGCAACTGGAAGGATGTGCAGCTATGACATACAACTATCTACTGGGGCTTTGGGGGGAAAATAAATAAATAAAATCTTTAAAAAAAAAAAAAAAGAAGTAGATCCTGAAGATGTGACTGAATTGTTGCAATCTCATGATAAAACTTTAAAAAGTATTAGGAGGATGAGGAGTTGCTTCTTATGGATGAGCAGAAAGTAGTTTCTTGAGATGGAATCTACTCCTGGTGAAGATGCTGTGAAGATTGTTGAAATGACAACAGAGGATTTAGAATATTACACCAACTTAGTTGATAAAGCAGCGGCAGGGTTTGAGAGGATTGACTCCAATTATAAAAGAAGTCTTACTGTGGGTAAAATGCTATCAAACAGCATCACATGCTACAGAGAAATTGTTCTTGAAAGGAGGAGTCAATCGATGCAGCAAACTTCATTGTTGTCTTATTTTAAGAAATTGCCACAGTCACCCCAGCCTTCAGCAACCGCCACCCTGATCATTCAGCAGACATCAACACTGAGGCAAGATCCTCCACCAGCAAAAAGATGATGACTTGCTGAAGGCTCAGATGATAGTTAGCATTTTTTAGCAATAAAGTATTTTTTAATTAAGGTATGTACATTATTTTTTTAGACATAATGCTATCGCACACTTAATAGACTGCAGGCAGTATAGTGTAAACATAACTTTTATATGCACTGGGAAACAAAAAAATATGTGTGGCTTTATTGAGATATTTGCTTTATTGTGGTGGTCTAGAATTGAACCTGCATTATCTCTGAGGTATGCCTATATTGTATGAAAGTACCATAATTTATTTAAATGGTCCCTTCTTGATTGACATTTGTTTCCAGTTTTTGCTGTTACAAACCATACTGTAATAAACGTGTGTGTGTGTGTGTGTGTGTGTATTTATGTTTAGGTGTTCCTCCAGATATACCTGTAAGGTAAATTCCTTTCATTATAATTGCTAGGTCAGTGGATATGTGCATTTACAGTATTGATAAGATGATATTACCAGATTGCCCTCCAAAAAGATTATATGAGTTTATAGTCCTACCAGCAGCATATGAGCATGCCTGTTTCCACCAGTATCTCATATTATCGGACTTTAAAGTGTTACCAATGTGATGGATGAAGAATTATATCTCATTTCGATTTATACTTTTTTGAGGGTATATTGATAGTTTACAATCTAAATAGCCATACTTCAGTTGCTGATTTCTGCTTTCTTTTTGCTCTAGAAAGATATAATCCTTCTAAAACTTCAAATGGACACCAGTCTAAATCGTAAGTTTATTGTTTAAGAAGTTTAGTATTTGTCTTTTTTGCTAAAAGTATGTCCATAGTGTCTAGATATTTAAAACAACACTTAGATACATGTACTTAATCTTTTAAGGCAGGAGGAGGTGAACTTTTATGTAAAGGACCAGTTAGTGAAATATTTTAGCCTTTAGGGCCAGATGGTCTCTGTCCCAACTCCTTAGCTCTGCCATTGTAGCAGGAAAGCAGCCATAGATCATGGATGTGGCTGTGTTCCAATAAAACTTTCTTTACAAAACAAATGGTCATCTGGATTTGGCTTGTGGGCCATAGTTTGCCTACCACTGCTCTAAGATTACAGTTTTTTCATTTCTCAGAAGTATATGTGTTTGTGTTTGGATAGTTTGTTTTTTATAAAGAATACATTTAAAAAAAAGGTCAGGCCCCGTGCCTTAGCGGTTAAGTGCGCGCGCTCTGCTGCTGGCGGCCTGGGTTCGGATCCCAAGCGCACACTGATGTACCGCTTCTCCAGCCATGCTGAGGCCACGTCCCACATACAGCAACTAGAAGGATGTGCAACTATGACATACAACTATCTACTGGGACTTTGGGGAAAAAAAAATTAAAAAATAAAAAATAAATTTAAAAAAGACAGAATTCTTCTTAGTAAGCCCTCCATTTAACCACTAAATGTACAATACTAAAGCAACATAGTTTGTACTATCTTTAAGTTTTCCTACTTATATTTTGTAGGTAGAATCAGGAATATATATCAAAATGTAATAGGGTAGTATATTGGATGATTATAAATTCCACCTTAAAGAATGAACTCCTGAATTCCTGAGACCGCAGGTTAACTCAGTGATTAAAACAAAGTTCTAAAGACACTGGCCACAGTGCTCTCTCTCTGCACCATAACTGCAGTCTATACTGATAACCTCAGCCTCTTCAGCTGAATGTAGGGAGAACTGAGTGAGAATGAAAATATGTGAATGCAAGAAGTCCCCTCTCACTGTGAAGAATTCAAATTATGTTCCTATTTATCATAGTTATTCATATGCAAAGAACTGATGCCAGCTTGTGATATATGTGCATGTCAGTTTGGTTGCTGAGAGAAGAAAAGCATGCAGTACCTTGAGCTGTCTGGTAAAAGCTTTGACATATTCACATGTGTAAACAGGTTCGTTGAGCTGCCATTATTAAATCATAAGGGCTGAGAGAATTCAGAGTAAGTACATTTCCTTACAGGAAATCAGTCATAAAGATGCACTAAGCCCTTGTCCAAAAGAAAACTTTTTTTTTCTGTCTCAGTTAACTGGGCCAGCCTTAAAACACTTTTCATAATTTGTAATCATCTGGTTACTTTGTTTCAAGGTGATCTTTTATGTGATACTCTGAATTTGGGGTCAGGTTTAGAAGCTCAGGTTAAGCTTTCAGAGGAAAGTATAAGTAGTTATTGGAGTGAAAGAAGATTTCCTTCCCACTGATTGGAGACTGTCCTGAAATTTTAAGAAGAAAGGTAATGGAACTATTGGTAATGAGAAATTAAACATTTTTCTAGTTGTAGTTCTCTCTAAGCTTTGTATTAATTTCTCCTCCCCTGTAAAAAGGCAAGGAGTGTTTTTTGGTTCATTTCTCAGATTTTATAACCTTAAGGAAAATTTAGATCTTCAAAAACTTAATTCCAGAAACTGTCAGCTTATAGTATCTGTGTTTTTTTAATTGATTTGAATATTGACCAACAAAGATTTGGAACCTGGAGTTTATTTTTAATTCATGCATGGTCATTTCTGTTGTATGGCTGAGATTCTTACCCAAAATTGTTTCTTCTGCAGAAGGCACTCATCTTTCATAGCAAGGCATTTATGAACCAGAACTTTGACTTTGTGTTGTGGTTTTCACAGTTACCCAGTTGTACAAATCTCTTCATGGAACAGTAGGGACACTGAAAGAGAACTGCTGATGCTTTCATATTATCTTCCTTCTTTTTAGGAATTATATCTCTCTAGTGGACTGTTGGGTATGAGTATGGTAATTTGTTTTAATAATGAATGAGTGTGTCATGTATGCAATTAGAGAAAAATAGAGATAACAAAAGTGAGTATAAAAGTTTATAGAAAGCGGCTTTTGTTTTATTAGAAAAGAAAGATGAATATTTTACTTATGGAAAAGTTAGAGCTTGTGAAATTGTTAAATTGTTCCTTTCTCCATTTTTACTCTGGATGTGAACCAAACCAGATAGAATGAGACTTACTGGTTCTTTTCTTTGTTTTTCAATTAAATCTTTGGCTAACACAGTGATTATTTCTTGAATTATTGGTAGATATTCACTACTCTGGTGTGCCATGATTAACTGTTCCAAAAATAATAATTCTTTCTGCCTTTTCCCTCTAGTATGTTAAAAGATGACTTAAAACTAAGCAGCAGTGAAGACAGTGATGGGGAACAGGTGTGTCTACTATTACATGATTTTGCCAATCTCATACAGTGTTTGTTTTTATTGTATTTTGTAAGAATTATAATTGAATAATACATATATGATTCAGTTATTTAAGTTCTTTCCTGCTTTCTGACACTGGAATGTTGTAGTTTTCTGCTCTGTCTTTAAACCTCCATTTTTTTCTTATTTTAAAAAAATTGGTTTTTCCTTAATACTTACTATGGATCAAAACATACTCAGGAACCATGAGATTGTTGACAGGAAAAACTATTAACAAAGCTTTTCATCTTGGCAGTTCTTTAGGTAAAAACAGTATGTCATAAGTGTTAAGTAAACATTGATGCATACATTAGAGAAGATGGTTTTTCTATTAAGAGTTCAGATATTGTTCACATTAAGCAGATAGAGTACTATTTATTCATTCACAGATTTCTCTCATGTTTTAATTTTAGGATTGTGATAAGACAATGCCAAGGAGTACACCAGGAAGGTGGGCATCTTTTTATTTCTTCTTTTATTTGGAGAAATGGGGTCAGCCTGATAACATTGTAGTGATATAATAATTGACCTTATAAAGTAAATATTATCGATGGTGGTGGTGGTTGTACAACTCTAAGTTAACTAAAAATCATTGAATTGTACACTTAAAATGGGTGAATTTTATGGTATGTAAATTATACCTCAATAAAACTGTTTTTAAAAGGTAAGTCCTAATGGCTGAGCAGCATATCAGAAACTTTTAAAGGAAGTATTTATTTCATTTATAATGAAGTTCTGGATTCATAGAATTGTAACAGCTTAACAAATAGTAAACATTTTAAATAAAGTTGGTTGTCAAGAGTTGGATATTTTCTTGTTGGCACTGTGAAAAAAACTTTTGGTCATTTATATGTTTTGTCTCTTCTAGTAACTCTGAACCTTCACACCATAATAGTGAAGGAGCAGATAACTCCAGGGATGATTCTAGCAGCCACAGTGGATCTGAAAGCAGCTCTGGCTCTGACTCAGAGAGTGAAAGTAGTTCCAGTGACAGTGAGGCAAATGAGCCATCGCAGAGTGCATCTCCTGAGGTGAGAAGGAGACAGGGGGTACCTTCCATAGCCCTTCAAGCCTCCTGGTGATGGCTAGTTAAGACTTGATTCAAATATAAAAGGTAAAGGAAAGAGGGTTACATATTCTGGCAAAAAACAATTAAACTGTATCTTGGAGGAAACCTAGATGCTTCAGTTTCCTTGTTATTTGAACAAACATTTGGTCTAGATTAGGAACTCCTTGTGGTCGTATTTCAGGTCACTAAAATATTGGATTTACTTAGTTTGGGTTTTATTTTTATGTCTCAACATGGTAATTCATGTTATATAGTTATTGTGGATAAAAAGAGTCTTCTATAGTATAATTTTACTTAGGTTGATAAAATATGATTAAAAATCTCTATTGGTACCTACATCATTTGTTTACTTTCTGGAGTTAAATATACTGTATTGTCATTTGTAATTTTGCCTGTGAAGTTGGATTCCTGACAGGAATATTTAATATTTCAGGAATATTTAATATTTAAAGGCCATATATAACATTAAGCTTATCTTCTCATTTTGGTGATTAGAACTAATCAGCTCTTTCACCTGTTCGCTTTGGTTCAATCAGAACTATGAAAAACAAATGCCTCTGTGGCATTAGGCATTGTGTTTTTGCCTCTTCCTTGAGATTGTAAAGGAGGGAGAAAGCTTCAGTATTGAAAATATACTTATTTCTCTGTTTTTCAGCCTGAACCACCACCAACAAACAAATGGCAACTTGATAATTGGTTGAATAAAGTGAACCCACATAAAGTGTCACCAGCTTCTTCTGTGGATAGTAACATCCCATCATCTCAAGGCTATAAAAAAGAAGGCCGAGAACAGGGCACTGGGAGTAACTACACTGATCCAGGAGGACCTAAAGAAACAAGTTCTGCTACTCCTGGACGAGACTCCAAAACTGTTCAAAAGGGATCAGAAAGTGGTCGTGGGAGGCAGAAGTCTCCTGCACAGAGTGACAGCACAACACAGAGGAGAACTGTAGGCAAAAAACAACCCAAAAAGACTGAGAAGGCAGCTGCTGAAGAGCCCCGTGGAGGCCTGAAGATAGAAAGTGAAACCCCCGTAGACATGGCTACCAGCATGCCCTCCAGCAGACACAAAGCAGCCACCAAAGGCTCAAGGAAACCCAATATAAAAAAAGAGTCCAAATCTTCCCCTCGACCTTCAGCAGAGAAAAAGAAATACAAGTCAACGAGTAAATCTTCCCAGAAATCAAGGGAAATCATAGAAACAGATACCTCATCCTCAGATTCGGATGAAAGCGAGAGCCTTCCTCCTTCTTCACAAACTCCTAAGTACCCTGAGAGTAATAGGACTCCCGTTAAACCCTCCCCAGTGGAGGAAGAAGATAGCTTTTTTCGGCAACGAATGTTCTCTCCTATGGAAGAGAAGGAACTTCTTTCACCCCTCAGTGAGCCTGATGACAGGTATCCACTTATTGTGAAGATTGACCTGAATCTCTTGACTAGAATACCAGGAAAGCCTTACAAAGAAACAGAGCCACCCAAGGGGGAAAAGAAAAATGTGCCAGAAAAGCACACAAAAGAGGCTCAGAAACAAGCCTCAGAAAAAGTTTCCAACAAAGGCAAGAGGAAACATAAGGTTTGTAAAGCGTTTTTGTTGTTAAACATCAGAATCTGAAACGCAATGGAAATCGCAGTAAGCCAAAAAATAACTAGTTGAGTCATAGCTATGAAGGAAAATAGAGGGTGAGCCCAAGGTCCAACTGAGGCTACATACAGAACAGACTCTTGAGGACCACTGTGCCTCTGCCTATCTCCTTCAGTAAAGCAGCACAGTTTCTAATCAAGTAAGAACTGAGCCAGCGCCGCTGTTCAGAGTTTGCTGGCCAGTGGAGGGGTGAGAGTGAAGCAGAGATTCCAAACTGGCCTTCACGACATTCTTAAAATTTTGGTTTTAAATGTCTTTAGTTGGGATACATACTCTCCAGGTTGACACAATCCCTAACACTCTCTTCTCTCTTATAGCTGATCAAGGCATATGTTTTAAATTACTAATTCCAGCTAAAAATTGGCTTACCAGTTTTGACAGTTGCTTAAGAATTTTACCAATCCACTGTACATATCTATGCCCCAGCTTTTTTTCCTTTTTGAACACCCATATCTGCAAGTTCAGAACTAAAAACATTTGCTGGCACATAGCCAGCTCTCATCCCTAAATACTTCCAAGATTATTCAGATTTAGAGATGAAGCTTGGTATATATGTAAGGTCAGGTTTTTTTTAGACCCAGGAATTGGGAAACTCACAGACATCTATGATTGGAGGGTAATAGATATAATGAAAAGAGCTGAACAACTTACACTATATAGACAGAGGTTCTTTGGAAAAAACAGCTTGATCTTTTCAGCTCTCATGAGGAGTTTTTAGAGGAAAGTAAATTTTAATAATCTGTATTGAAGAATAGTATAATTTCCCCTGATACATATGTGTGAATATGATTGTAAAAGACTTGAAAGTGTGAGCAGGTGAACAGATGGGTACCAGAATGGCTATGCCAGGTAGACTCAGAACAAAACCCCAATCCTTGCTGACCTTGAGAATCTCACATAGGAGAAGAGGAAGAATACAGCGTTTTCTTAAAATGAAATGAGCCAGAGGTGTTTCCTCTTTCTTTTTCTTAAAACCACAGTACTGTCTGCAGATGATGATGTATATTTGGACAAAGTAGAATAATATTTTTTTTCCTGATCTTCCAAAGTTGAAGATTTTTTAAAATTTGAATTTCTAGAAAACTGAAGCTTACTACTTTCAGTGCTATAACTAATGTTTCCATTATTATAGTATAGGGATGCTCTATTTGACTAAGAAAGCTGTTTAGGGCTGCTGGCCCCTATGGCCCACAGCCTCAGATTGCTGGACTTGATTGTGGGATTTAATCCATAGAATTACATGAAATAAGAGCTTGTATGTGATAGGCTCTGCTCTTTAGAAAACTAAGGTGTTTCTTATGGAATTAAAAAATGGGCCTTTTGTGCTTAAAAAGTATTATATGTTCTTTATAAGATTTCAAAAGTTTAAAATATAATATAGAAAGTGAAAATCCTTTTTACTCTTTAGTTTAAAATTTTACAATATATAAAACTTGTAATAAAAAAATCTCCTTCCTTTAAAAGTGCCCCATGTCTCCTCCCCTCCCTCATATCTCACTGGCATATATTCCTTGCAAGTTTTTTATCTCAATACCTGTAAGTCAGATTTTGATTTTATTTATTTATTTTGAGGAAGATTGGCCCTAAGCTAACACCTGTTGCCAACCTTCCTCCTTTTTTTCCTTTTTTCTCCACAGAGCCCCAGTAGATAGTTGTATGTCATAGTTGTACATCCTTCTAGTTGCTCTCAGCATGGGAGAGCTGCCTCAGCATGGGTTGATGAGCAGTGCGTAGGTCTGTGCCCAGGATCTGAACCGGCAAACCCTGGGCTGCCGAAGCGGAGCACACGAACTCAACTGCTATGCCACTGGGCTGGCTCCAGATTTTGATTTTATACAATGTATAACACCACGCAACTTGCTGATGATTTTTGAGATTCTTGGCTTTGGTAAAATTAGGTGTCAGGAGCAATTCCTGAAGATAAAGCAGTTGGTACAGAGAAGAGACCTAGCCAAGGGTAATGAAAGATGTAAATTCCTTTTTCTCATGTTTTCACATGTCCATCTTTAATCATTTGTGTAAGGGAACAGATTCTTTTGTTATGGCATAATGATTGCAATCTTGTGCCGTGATATTTAAAATAATAGGAAAACTTAGATTCACCCAGGAAAGTAGCATTGGCATTTACAGATGTGCTTTTGTTTAAGTAAAAAAATTTTTCAAAAATCATTAGGCCTGGCTATAATTAAAAGACGGACAGTATCAAGTGTTGGCAAAGATCTGGAGAAATTGGAATTTTTATACAGCGCTGGTGGAAATGTAAAATGATGTAGCTGCTCTGGAACACAGTTTGGCAGTTCCTCAAAAAGTTAAACATAGTATTACCTTATGACCCAGCAATTCTGCTCCTAGGTATCCAAGAGAAGTGAAAATATGTCCATATAAAAACTCATACTTAAATGTTCATAGCAATATTGTTCATATTAGCCAAAAAGTGGAGACAACCCAAATGGCCATCAACTGTTGAATGGATAAATAAAATATGGTATATCTATGCAATGGAATATATTCAGCCATAAAAAGGAATGAAGTACTGATACGTGCTACAACATGGATGAACCTTAAAAATATTATGCTAAGTGAAGGGAGCCAGACACAAAAGGCCATATGTATTCTATGATTCCATTTATATGAAATGTCTAGAATAGGCAAATCCCTAAAGACAAAATGTTTAGATGAGTGATTGCTAGGGTCTGGGGGTAGGGGATGGGGAGTGACTGCTAATGCACATAGGGTGTCTTTTTCAGATGATGAAAATGTTATAAAATTGATTGTGGTGATGGTTGTACAGCTCTGTGAATATACTGAAAACCATTGAATTGTGCAATTCTAAAGAGTGAATTTTATGGTATGTGAATTATATCTTAATTATAATTTTATTACCCCCCTAAAAATCATTAGACTGAAAAATGCCACCTAAAAGACTGTAGGAGGGCCAGCCCCGTGGCTTAGCAGTTAAGTGCATGCGCTCCACTAATGGCGGCCCAGGTTCGGATCCCGCGCGCGCATCGACGTACCGCTTCTCCAACCATGCTGAGGCCGCGTCCCACATGCAGCAACTAGAAGGATGTGCAACTATGACATACAACTATCTACTGGGGTTTTGGGGGAAAAAAGGAGAAGGATTAGCAATAGATGTTAGCTCAGAGCTGGTCTTCCTCAGCAAAAAGAGGAGGATTAGCACGGATGTTAGCTCAGGGCTGATCTTCCTCACAAAAAAAAAAAAAAAAAGACTGTAGGAAATGTGTTTCAATATTTGGGCTCTGTTTATCTAAAATAGGAGACTTTCTTAGCCTTAAAACCTAATTTATTGAACATTGTTTAAATGAATTCTTTCACTTCACGTTTATCTTCTTTCTGGAGTTGGTCGGAGACAAACTTGTTGGGGGTGACTAGTGCTGGAAACTGAAATTAGATGAATAAAATTCAAACCGAGTAGTTGCTTTTTTCTATTTTTTATCCAGAATGAAGATGATAACCGAGCCAATGAGAGCAAGAAACCCAAAACGGAGGACAAGAATTCAGCAGGCCACAAGCCATTGAGCAACAGAGAGTATGTCCCCAAATCATGTTACATGTGTTAATATATGTATGTCATTTGCTGTTGGGTAGTTTCTAACATGCTCTTAGAATGTTTCTTTTAGTAAATATATGTCATATACATGTACACACGTACATATACCAAATAGTGGGAGCTTTTGCTTTTAGCAATAGGGATGAAAAGGATATAAGATTCAGTCACTTCTTTCTCTCTTCTTTTTTTAGTGGAGTCAGGGTGAGTTTTGGATAAGAATTAAAGTAAAGTTTTATCCCTTTCTGGCTAGATGAGAGGTTTATCTACAACTTGCAAGAGACTGCTAACTTATGAGTGTTAATATCTTCATTCACCATTCATCTTTTTGTCCATTTATTCAACCAATATTTATTGAATACTTGTGAGGCAGGCTACAGTTTAGGCACTGGGTATATGATCATGGTGGGGGAAAAAAACAGACAAGATGCCTGCCCTCATGAAATTTACAGTTTTGTTTTGCAGAAATCATGTGTCATAGTAATCAAATAGGGAAAAACAAATTTGTCTTGAAAGCAGGCAAAGAGATATGGAAAAAATCCGTCACCCCTCTATGACTGTATGGAGAAATGAGGGCATTTGTTTGGTTTGGCAGGTCATCTAAGCAGAGTGCTGCAAAAGAAAAGGATTTGTTGCCTTCTCCTGCTGGGCCTGTTCCTTCAAAAGATCCCAAAACAGAGCATGGCTCTCGGAAGAGGACTATTAGTCAGTCTTCTTCCTTAAAGTCAAGTAATAACAGCAACAAGGAGAATAGTGGCAGCAGCAAAAACAGTTCCTCCACATCAAAGCAGAAGAAGACTGAAGGGAAGACTTCCAGTAGTTCTAAGGAGGTCAAGGTAAGGAGTTGGGGGCCTGAGCCTTTTGAAAATAAATTTCATTGCTGTTTGACTTCTCCAAGGTGACACTGTGCTTTGAAAATTTGTAGACATCCCATTAAATTTATAGGCCTGTGCATTTTTACTCTGAAAATGTCTTAATCTTGATAATAAATGTATGCAGTGATCTGACCATGAAAACAGTTAATTCACCTGGCCACATACATGTTAATTAAGATCGAAACCCATAATTGGAAAAGCTGGTTATAGAAAAATAGCTGATTGTGATCTAATTATAAATAGCTCCAGTTGCTGTGATTGAGTTCTTGTCTATGGTTTGAAATTGGCTTTGGATTTTCTATAATTAGATTTTACAAGCAAGTTATTTTACATAGAGTGACAAAGCAACCATTTGGCTTTGATTCATGAAAAAGAAAAAAATCCTTTAGCTGAGCTCATATTGGAATTATTCCTAGAGCATGATCATAATAGGAGAATAGTGTTAAAGTTCTGGATGGGGAGTTGGATCAATAAAGCTTTTTGAAGGCTTTACTTTATTAGACTGTCATGCTCAATTTATTTACCAGGTTCTTTGCAGTGCTTTCTAAACTGTTCTGATCAAGAGCAAACTCCCTGACAAAATTTTAAAAATACCCAGATTTTTAAGAATATAACTCACTGCATTATTATTTGTGACTTAAGTAAGCAAAAGTTTGAGAGTTGAAAAATTAGACTATTAAAGGCATTTAGTCATGCTTATTAAATGTGGTAATTAAATCTTTTAAATTGAGGTAATTTTAATTGTGAACAACATCTCAAATTGAGATATAGAGAAGGCTTTTTCTCCAGTGGGACACCCTTCTGTAGTAGTTTAGAGAGTCCTAGTATCCTTCAGGAACCTGACTGTCTTGTTGGCCTCCTTCACTGTCCCAGTTATCTACCTACCTGCTGACTGGCTCTTTCTCCATTTCTCGTCCTTTAACTATAGGATTTGAGGCCTGTATGCTTATTTCTTGAAACGTGTTATCTCTCTCTTTTTTTTTAAATGCTCTCATTAAGTGAGCTCACCTGCTCATTTGGCTTCTGTTATTTCCTAGGTAAAACTCACTGTCCATGTCTCTTCCTTATTGTTTTGTCAGCTTCTTGAAAGCAGGGATTTGTATCTTACTTGTTTTGTGTTTTATTTAGTGTTTAACTTACGGTTAACCAGAAAATATTTGTTGGATCAAATGTAGTTATTTGGTACTCTGTTGTTATCAACCAAATATAAAATATAGGCCCTGACCACTTTGATTTCAAGATCCTATAGCACTTAATGGCTGTTAAAATGTTAATATTAGAGCCAGCCCTGATGGCCTAGTGCTTCAAGTTCGGTGCACTCTGCTTCAGTGGCCCAGGTTCGATTCCCAGGCATGGAACCACACCACTTGTATGTCAGTAGCCGTGCTGTGGCGGTGGCTCACATAGAAAAACCAGAAAAACTTACAACTATACACAACTGTGTATTGGGGCTTTGGCGGGGAGAAAGAAGAGAAAAAAAAAGGAAAATTGGCAACAGATGTTAGCTTAAGGTGACTCTTCCCCTGCAAAAAAAAAAGAATACTTGCTATCAATTTTTTTAAAAAAATTGTTAATGTTGGTCTTGGCAGTTTCCAATTTAGGCAATTATATATGGGTTTATTGAAGAAAAATCCATAATTTATTTAGAAAATACGCTATTTCTTATTAACTAAAGAAAAATTAGATAATATGGGAAACCAAAATTATATGTAATTTTTGTTTTATGTTTTTCTAGATATTTGCTCATATTATCAAATCTTTGAAATATATTGGCGTAAAGTTGTTCATTATAGTCTCTTATTTTGCTTTTAATATTTGTAAATCTCTACTTATTTTCCTCTTTTTTTTTTTAATTAATTAATTTTTTGTGTGTGAGGAAGATCAGCCCTGAGCTAACATCCATGCCAGTCCTCTTTTTTTGCTGAGGAAGACTGGCCCTGGGCTAACATCCATGCCCATCCTCCTCCACTTTATATGGGCCGCCGCCACAGCATGGCCTGACAAGCAGTGCATAGGTGGTGCCCGGGATCTGAACCCGGGCTGCCAGCAGTGGAGCGCATGCACTTAACTGCTATGCCACAGGGCCGGCCCCTACTTATGTTCCTCTTTTGTTCTTAATATTAGTTTTGTGTGCCATCTTTTTCCTTGATCAGTCTCAACCAGAGGCTTATTATTTTACTTGTCTTTTCGAAAAACAGCCTTTGGGGCCGGCCCCATGGCTTAGCGGTTAAGTGCGTGTGCTCTGCTACTGGCGGCCCGGGTTCGGATCCCGGGCGCGCACCGATGTACCGCTTCTCCAGCCATGCTGAGGCCGCGTCCCACATACAGCAACTAGAAGGATGTGCAACTATGACATACAACTGTCTACTGGGGCTTTAGGGGAAAAAAAGGAGGAGGATTGGCAATAGATGTTAGCTCAGAGCCGGTCTTCCTCAGCAAAAAGAGGAGGATTAGCATGGATGTTAGCTCAGGGCTGATCTTCCTCACAAAAAATTTTTGTTTTCTATTTCATTAATTTATACTCTTTATAATTTCCTTTGTTTTTTGTTTGTTTTGCTGTTCCATTTACTAACTTTTAAAGATGGCTACTTAGCTCGTTAACTTTTGAGTTAACTTTAAGCCTTTTTTCTTTCTCTAGTGGTTAGATTATATATTCCCCTCTAGATACTGCTTTAGCTGCATCCCATAAGATTTGGCATATAATATTTTTATAACTCAGTTTAAAATGTTTTCTAATTTCCACTGTGATTTCATCTTTAACCCAAGAGTTATTTATTTATTTATTTATTTTAAATTTTTATTTATTTATTTTTTCCCCCAAAGCCCCAGTACATAGTTGTATGTCATAGCTGCACATCCTTCTAGTTGCTGTATGTGGGACGCGGCCTCAGCATGGCCAGAGAAGTGGTGCGTCGGTGCTTGCCCAGGATCCGAACTCGGGCCGCCAGCAGCGGAGTGCACGCACTTAACCACTAAGCCACGGGGCCGGCCCCCAAGAGTTATTTAAAAATGTGTTACTCAAAAACATGTGGAGATTTTCTAGTTATTTTTTGGTTAGTGCTTCTACCTTAAGTGCATTGGGGCTGAAAAGTGATCTGCATGATAGCAATCTTTTGAAATTTGTTAAGGTTTTCTTTATAAGAGAGTACGGTGTATGGTAGATTTTTGTAATGTTCTGTATTTGCTTGAAAAGAATGTATATTCTGCATATATTTAGGACAGGGATCTATATAATTCCATTAGATTAATCATGTTTTCAAACCTTCTCTGTGCTGACTAGATATTTTGTCAGTTTGTCCTATTGTTCACTGAGAGAAGTGTTTCACTCTCCCATTATTTCCACGAATATACAGGATTTGTCTTTTTCTTCTTGTAGTTTTGCCAGGTTTTTTAATTGAGATATGCTTTTTTTTTTTATAATTTTATTTATTTATTTATTTTCCCCCAAATCCCCAGTAGATAGTTGTATGTCATAGCTGCACATCCTTCTAGTTGCTGTACGTGGGACGCGGCCTCAGCATGGCTGGAGAAGCGGTGCGTCAGTGCGCGCCCGGGATCCGAACCTGGGCCGCCAGTAGCGGAGCGCGCTCACTTAACCGCTAAGCCACGGGGCCGGCCCCAGAGATATGCTTGATATATAATATTAGTTTCAGGTATAACGTAATGTTTTGATATATGTAAATATTGTCAAATGATCACCACAATAAGTGTGGTTAACATCCATCACCACACATAGTGATTTTATGTATCATACACATTTAATTTTTATATGAGAAAAGTGTGTTGAAATATCTGGAAAATTTTTTTTTCAGAAACTTCACTTTTCCTTTAATAAATCTAAACTTAGGTACTTGTAGATCTATTTATAAAATATAGAGGGAAAGCTGTTCTAGTAATGTTACATTGCAACATAATATTCAGAAAACCATTTCATAAACATGTCAACTTTACCATAAAAAGTTTAATATTTTCTCAAATCTCGGGACTTTTATTTTCCTTCCTTGAAGTAGGCTAACGGGTGGAACTAAAAAGCTCTAATATATAGGAAAAGAAAAAACAATGGTTACATAGTTCCTTTTAAATCGATTTTAAGCACAAGTAGTAAAATTACAATTATTGGGATTTCTAATGTTGAAACATTCATGCATTCATAGGATAAATTCTACTTATTTATAGTTTTTTATTATGGAAAAACGTGTATTCATCTTATTAAAGATAGGGCTGGATGGGGAAGCAGTTGGTAAGATTGGATCTAGCCCTTACATAAAGGGCTATGTTGATAGGATGCAAAATAGACGTTGATAGGAGGCAGAATAAAGTTTAAGAAAGTGACTAGGCTTTTGAAATCTGACAGATCTGGATTTAAAACCCAAATTCCAGGAATGCCACTTGAAAGCTCTTTGAACTTGGGCAAGTTACTCAGCCTCTTTGAAACTGCTTTCTATTCTATCCTAATAGTGCATATTTCATAGGGTTGTTGAAGCATTAGTGACTACTAAGTACTTAGTTAACTTTTAGTGCCTGGTAAGTAATAAGCACACAGTAAATGTTAGATATTATTGTTGCTGTTTTCACTGACCAGTAATTACCAATAAATTTTATCTTAAGTAGTACTGGTATTTTGATATTAGGTTTGTGATTCTTTATGCTTTAACAAGTGCCTAGGTCAGTGCCTGACACGTAGTAGACCCCTGATACTAGAATGAATATTTTTGGTTGTATAAAATGGACCTGTTCTGTGAAAAGGGCGTTTACATTCTAAAGTTGAAAAATTTTATAATAAGAAAATTAATTACCCAAGGCAGTGGAATTTTGTTTCCTTTTTACCCATGGCTCAAGAAATACTTTTAGTTTAATTTTAATCTCTTCACAATTGTCAACCTAGTTATATATTTTTTTGGTCAGGACAAGACTCCAAATAGCTCTTCTAACTGTCCTCCATCTACACCAACTCCTGATGCTTCTAAGCCTCGGAGAACAAAGCTTGCCTTTGATGACAGGTGAGATAAATATGATTTTTTTATGCATTCAGAAAGTCATTTCAGTTAGCATATAAGAAACTCATTTTAATTTCTGTCAGTGACCAGAAGAATTCATACTTGTGTTGCTATCCACAGAATATTCAGATTTTAATTTGAAAGTCACCCACTAGTCCAAGTATTGCTCCTTAAACTTAACTCCATGACTCTCATCGTGGTCGTAAATGATTGCCTTCTGGTAGAACCTTACTGATGCTGGTATCTCTCTTTAAAATAGGGGCTTTCTTAAATAAGTAAGAGCAGTGTTGGTTTTTTCCTCCATTTTGATAAAAGGTTATTTCTCCTACCCACATTTTATTTACTCTAAATCTTTCAAACAACTTGAGTAAGTTAGTGTTTAATACTAGGGAACTTGATTTCTGTTTTCCTAAGTAGAAAATTTGCTATGAGTTGGTCAAAACAATTTACACTCTTAACCCAATATAATCATTTGTCCGAAAAAACTGAATCAAATGTTTAGTAATAGCTCATTTTCTTTACTTGAGAACATGAAAACTGAGGGATGCTAGAGACTAAAATGAACTCATATTATCTTATTTACCATTTCATTTACAATAAAAATTTACATTGCAGAAATTATTCAGCAGATCATTATTTACAAGAAGCAAAAAAGCTAAAGCACAATGCAGATGCATTGGTATGTAAATATTCTCCTCACTTTTATGTATTTAATCAAATAACTTAAATCTTCATTTGTTGTTTGTTCCCATAGTACATCAGTGCAGCTCTCATTACCTTTATTCTCCTTTCTTCAGTCTGATAGGTTTGAGAAAGCTGTATACTATCTTGATGCTGTGGTATCTTTCATTGAATGTGGGAATGCATTAGAGAAAAGTGCTCAGGAATCCAAATCCCCATTCCCTATGTATTCAGAGACGGTGGAGCTCATCAAGTAAGTAGGAAAACTTGTCACATCGTTGGCAGTATTATTTCTCTGGTCCATCTAGGAATGGGCTGATATAACTAAGACAGTAAATGCACAGTAAAGCTAAAAAGTTTGCTTAATCCTTTATTGTCCTTGGATGAGGAGAACTAGATACCTCAGTGGGTGTTTTTGCCTTCATTTAGGTTTGATTCAAATGTTTTGAGGACTAAGGAAGTCATAAGATCAAGGTGAAGTATTACATTTGTGTCAATTGTTTGTTATTTTAACTCACAGATACACTATGAAGCTAAAGAATTACTTAGCACCAGATGCTACAGCTGCAGATAAAAGACTCACAGTACTTTGGTAAGTGTTGTGTGTTCTAGCTTCTGCTAGATCACAGGCAGTTCCATAATAAATTGTGCTGTCTATGCTCTTCTGAAAGTTATCCTCAACGCAACCTTCCATAACCCAGTCATAAATCTATTATAGATGGGTAAAGTAGAAAATAACTCAAAATTCCTACTGAAAGATTTTGGTCATTGTCAGTCTCTTATCCGTTGCCATCTTGACAAAAGCTTTGGTAGAATGAGACTGATATTAGAACTCTCCGTTGTCTTAAGCGGTCACTTTTCCAGGCTCTTCGTTTGGTATCCTCTCTCTCTATTCCCATGTACACCTTTCTTTAGGGAGCAAATGTTTAGCTTGCTCAGAATAAAGAATGTGTCTTGTTTGCTTGGTCCCAGGGAGATATTATCAGTTCATTTGTTATAGGTATTTACTTTACCTGGCACATGTTTAACAACTGGGAATGCAGCTGTGGATAAAACTGACACAGTCCTATTTGTCATGGAGTCTAGTGTCTAGTATAAGGAGACAGAAATTAATCAAAAATCACACAAGTGTATGAATTAAGTACTTTGAAAGAAAAGTATATGTAACTATAAGAGTAGAGTGTAGGGAGACCTAGTCTTCAGGTAGAGGGAACATGTACAAGGGCTGGATAGTTGAAAAAAACTGGAAACTATCAAGGAACTAAAAGACCAGTGAGAAGTGAAAGTGACTAGAGAGGTAGGCAGTGGTAATCATGCAGGGCCTCTGTAAGCCATGTTAAGGTTTTATATGTTTCATCAGAGTTATAATATTCATAGTTAAATTTCCTAGTTTTTGTTGTTTAATTTTAGATTATTTATAATTTGATCTAGAGATTCTGCCCCTTGGCAATTTTTTAATGCATATGTTATAATGACATGTTGGTGTCTTCCGGGTGAAGTTTTGATTTTTTAACGTCAACAAATAGGCGTCTAGTCCTAGGTCTCTTCCCCTTTCTTCCCCTCCCTAGGGTGTGTAACATAATACAAACACATCTTTTGGTTTTGCTTAAGGGTTAGTGTTGTTGACCTTATGCTGTGGTCTGCTCACATGAGGCAGTCGTCTACTTTTGCACGATGCAAAGGTTGTCTGTACAGATATGGCCAGAGTCTGCTGTCCGGGTAAATAAGCTGCCCTTTTCCATTGTCTAGCCTGCGATGCCAGTCTTTGTTGTACCTGAGGCTATTCAAACTGAAGAAGGAAAATGCTCTGAAGTACTCAAAGACACTGACGGAGCACCTGAAAGTAAGTGTGCAAAAAAGGAGAGTCCATTTCCTAGGAGACAAAATTTGTAAAGTCTCCTATCCCCACCCCAGATGTGCCCTCATGTTTTACCTGCCACAGCTACCATTTGGCAACTTTCAAATAAGTTTGAGGTTTTTGGGGAAAGTTTTTAAATGCACTTAAATCTGTTTGTAGAACCTATGTAGCCATACGCAGTAGTTCTTAATAACATTCCAGTAGAGGTAGCCTGTTTTTGTCATGAAACCTAATTTATACTTGTTAAATGGTCTTTGTTTTCACTACCATCCTTCCTTAGACTGTTATCTTAGTTTCCTAAAATGTCTTCCTATGTTTTTTCATGACAGCACCACATTAATCATCCTAAAATTCTGCCCTGATTGTACCTTGGAACCCTTTAGTAGCTTACCGTGGCCTACAGGATCAAGTCCAAGCTACTTACCCTGACCTGTAAGGCCCTCAAGGTCTCTCTTTCTTGTTCCTTATCTAAACCTCTGCTCCAGGAAAACCGTGTGGGTCACATACATTCTCTTTTCTGCAGCCTTTGTACCTAATATGACTCACCTTCCTATGCCCTTTCCCCTCCTCTTTATCCATCTGAGTGCTATTCATTCTTTGTTTCTTCCTTAATTCTTCCAGAACACCCCAGCTCTCACCTAAGTAATTCTTTCTGTTGCCCATTTACACACACACACACACACATTTTCGTTTCCTAAGTTTATAAAGCTTAAGTTCAGTTCTGGCCCAATGCTTTTGAATATATTTAGTACTTTAAAAGCAGTGTTTTGGGGAGGGGGCCTGGTGGCATAGCGGTTAAGGGCACACACTCTGCTTCTGCGGCCCAGGGTTCACAGGTTCGGATCCTGGGCGCACACCGACGCACCACTTGTCAAGCCGTGCTGTGGTGGCGTCCCATATAAAATAGAGGAAGATGGGCACGGTGTTAGCCCAGGGCCAGTCTTCCTCAGCAAAAAGAGGAGGATTGGCATCAGATGTTAGCTCAGGGCTAATCTTCCTCAAAAAAAAATAAAAGTAGTGGTTTTTTTTTTATTAAGTACATTTTATTTTCTCCACAGAATTCTTACAATAATTCTCAAGCACCATCACCTGGCTTGGGAAGGTAGGTAAATTTTGTTCTATAAAATATTATTTGTGACAAGTTTATTTATTTTTATGTAAAAGTGGAATGGGTAGAGTCCAACTTCCAAAAATAGAAAGATGACAACTTTTTAAAGTTGTCTAATAAGTCTCTAATAAGTATTTTTTAAAGTTATCATTTTTTCCCTGTGTATTTTTTTATAAATTGAAAATATGGTAATGAACATAATCTTAGAAAGATTAGAGAGGGGGCATTTCACCTGCAGAAATCTGAGTTTTTTACAGCCCCTCAGCCCTTCTCACAGGTTTTCTGTAGCTACTTGGGTTTTTATCATAGTGGACTTACCTTTACTCAGGCCTTAACACCACAACAGTTTAATAACAGTGGCATGATTGTGGTTTCTTCTCCATCCCCACATCATTCCCATCCCAGCTACCCCCCAAAAGGAGGAAAAATACCAGGAGACCTTTTTTTATAAGTTATCTGTTCAATTATTATGTTTTTGTTAATTGGCATTCTGTCTTTGCCTGTATGTATTTTCTTAACCAAATTTATAGTGCTAAAAGTGCAGATAAAAATATTCTTAACAGATAGGTTTTTCCCCCCAACTTTTGTATGATTTTCCATTTTTTATTGTCTTGGGCATTTCTACAAATTTTAGTATTGCTGAAATGAATCTGCCAGATCTCAGCGTGTTTTCAAAGAAATATTTAATTGACAGGAAGCTTGAGATGATTGCAGTTGATTGAGAAAGCTGTACCTCTTTGTCAGCTCTGATTAACTTGGTTAAACTAGGAAAGTACCAGAAATTATGGAGTTCAAAATAAGATGTTCCCATTTACTACCACAATTTTTTGTGTGTTAAATTGTTAATTCCACCCAACTTTCTACAAAACAGTTTGAAAAGTACTTAATTATATGCCTGAATAGGTGGAAAGTGTGTTGAGCTGGGAGTGAGGCAATCTAGCTTCTAAGTCTTTGAACTGCTACTAATAAGATATATGACTTCCTCAGTTCTTTCCCGTCTCTTGTTCTGTTGTCATTCATTAAAACAAAGAGTCTAGATAATAATGTAATTCACAATGGTCTTTAGTGAGTTAAGTATTTATTTAGAAGAAATTATCCTTCTCTGGGAACCCTTCTAGTTTAAAATAATCTAAATTTTAAGAGGCTTTGTGTAGGAAGAGCCAGTAATACATTGATTTCATCACTTTCATCATCTCCATTTGAATAAGCTTCCTGTTTTTCTCTGTCTAGCAAAGCTGTTGGGATGCCTTCCCCTGTTTCTCCAAAGTTGTCACCAGGCAATTCAGGAAATTATTCTTCTGGGGCCAGTAGTGCTTCAGCGAGTGGTTCTTCAGTGACCATTCCACAGAAGATCCACCAGATGGCAGCCATCTATGTTCAGGTTACATCCAACTTCCTCTATGCCACCGAAATTTGGGACCAAGCTGAACAGCTTTCCAAAGAGCAAAAAGGTAGGGAGGTCTCTGGAGAAACTTTGAGGGATGGAATTGTTGAAAGGAGCTTTTATGATCTAGTTAAATAAGTGTCTTGTCTGCATTTATTTTATTATGTAGTCTCGAGTTAATGATAATCAGTTTGCAAATCTCCATTGCTTAGCAATTGTACTGAATGTACTGAATTTGGTCAAAAAATACCTTTCACTATGCTGGTAACATAAACTAAAAATAGTTTTTGGTCTAAGACAAATATGCCTTTGTTCTGGCATATTAAATACAGCTTATACTATAAAAGTAATAAAATATATGTTCTACTCTAGGATAGTTAACAATAAATTTGGCTATAGTCATAGGATTACATCCAGACGTCTTGTACATATGAGATGTTTAATATATAAGAAAGCACGTTCATACTGGATTTTTAGGTGTATTGGAAGAAACTTATGTGATAAAAGAGGCTACAAAATGAGTAGATTTCTAGCATTCTTTAATATTAGGTCATTGTAAGCTTTATACTTTGGTTGTTGTCTCCCAAACTAAGAACATTGAGAATTATAAAGTATTTAAAGATCTTAGAGAAAAGTACTATATAAACACCATCTTATTTTAGTAGATGTTATTAACAGATACGTGTGTGGCATCTCTTTAGGTAGATCCTTTGTAGAGAAACACTAAAGTAGCCGATCAACCAAATGTGCTTTTATCACAAACTACGTTTAAATGCTTATAGTATGAACAGATAATCAGGTGAAAATGAAAGATTCCTATCCCCAAAGAGGAGTAATGGTGAGGAGAAAGGTAGGAGGAGAACGCCAACATCTAACATAAAGTTGTGTTTTTAAAAACCTAATTTGTTCCTAAAATTTTAAATATTGTCAGTACTGCTCAGGAAAGGTTGCAAAGCTGAAATTGTTCTTAAGTTACCCTACTTTACTTTCCATTCTTCTCCTTGATGCCAGTTTTCTAGCCTCATTTTTCCTTTTTTTTTTTTTTTTTTTTTCCTTTTCTTTCTCTCTTTTTTCTCTTTCTATTTCCTTTTTTTTTTCACTTTTTGTATGGCAGTTTTCAAACATTGACTAAAGGAAGGAGAATGGTATAATGAACCTCATGTACCTGTCACTCAATTTCAGCTTCAGCAACACAACATTTTGCTAATCTTGTTCCATCTTTCTCTCTCTTTCTCTATCATACTTTTCTTTCCTCCTGAAGTATTTAAAGCAAACACCAGATATGATGTTTCACCTGAGCATACTTTAGTATGCATCCTTAGGTGATAAGGACTTTTCAAAAACATGACCACCATGCCTTTATCACAGCCACTTAAATTAACAACTCCTGTATGTCACCTAATACCTAGTCTACCATCAGATTTCCCTATTGTCTCAAATATGCGTTTTTTTAAAACAGCTGAATTTGTTTCAAACAGGATCCAAACATTCATTGATCAGTCTCTTAAGTATTTCCCCCTCCTCCACTTTTTTTTTGGCCATGCCACTGATGTCCAAGAGAAATGGGGCCATAGATGTGTCATATTCTGAATTTCACTGATTACTTCCTTATGGTATCATCTAGCTTGCTGTTCTGTCACCCTTATTTCCTTCATACTGATAGCTATATTTTGAGACTTGATTAGATTCATGTTCATTATTTTAGATAATTAGATATATAATAGATAATTAGAAATATTTAGAATAGTTCGTAGGTGGTTTCTAGATTATTATATCATTATGAGTCATATAATGGTTATCCATTTTTTAGTGATATTAAGATTTGACCATTGATTCATTCAGGTGGTGTCATCCTGACTCTGTTTATTGTAAGATTCCCTATTAAACTTTAACTTATGCTTTTAGCATCTGTTGGTGATCGTTACCTGCATCCATTAGGGAACACAAATTTTCTATTTTGATATTCCTTCTGCATTTGTTAGCTGGAATTCTATAAAGAAGAGCCTTTTCTCATCAGCTGTTTACTTCTTGCCTTGTTTGAGTAAGCTGAGATCTTTATCATGAGAATGGTCCCTTTTTCTCTGCATGTGTAGAAAGCTCTCCTTACTTTCTGAGTCCTGCATCCCTTCATCTTCTCCCAAAATTGCATTGGGATCAAATGTTAGGGTACTGTTGTCTCCTCCTCCTCTCTACACCCCACCTCACATGCACCTCAGCCTATATTTGCTTACATAGGAAGAATCATTTCCATCCCTTACATTTTTAAACTGTGTAAAACATAGGATTTAAATTATCAATGTTGGGCTGGCCCCGTGGCTTAGGGGTTAAGTGCGTGTGCTCCGCTGCTGGCGGCCCACGTTCGGATCCTGGGCGCGCACCGACGCACTGCTTCTCCGGCCATGCTGAGGCCGCATCCCACATACAGCAACTAGAAGGATGTGCAGCTATGACATACAACTATCTACTGGGGCTTTGGGGGAAAAAAAAATTAAATTAAAAAATAAAAAATAAAAATAAATTATCAATGTTGCGTGGCATATGATTACAGCAGAAAGGTTGGATACAGGCTGTCGTAAGTGTCTAACCTCACAGGGGTCTTAATGGGGAATCATGCAAAGAACATCCTCCTTTTTTGTACCACTTGCTTCTTATACAAAAACAGTACACAGGGAATGTTTTGTGTAATAGTACATTGTAGCACTAGGTGTCCATTTTAATAGTGTTTACTGCACACTAGCAGTTTATAATTTCCATCAGTGGATTTCTGCTTATATGTATAACACTTAATTCCTGACCATACAGTCTGTTTAAAATGTTTCATGACTTAGGGGAAAAATATAACTCGAGGGAGTGTTTTTTGACTTCATATGAATACTATTTTATAGTCTAGACTAAAAATTTTAAAGCAGTGATTCAAAAGAGTATGCATGATTTAATGAGTGTTTTTGGTTTTCTAGAATTCTTTGCTGAACTGGATAAAGTAATGGGCCCTCTCGTCTTTAACGCAAGCATCATGACAGACCTAGTTCGTTATACCCGGCAGGGACTGCACTGGCTTCGCCAAGATACCAAGTTGATATCTTGAACTGAACACATTCTTGTTGCCTCTGATTTTCTCCACAACACTGTGTCACATCACGAAGGAAGACTGCCATAACGCACCACCTTGTTGACACTAAGAATGAGGAATGGTTTTCTCCTCCCTAGTTCATGTGTTGTTGTTTTTTATAACCCACAGCCATCATGTCACTTGACTCCTTCAATATTCCCAACATGAAAAATTATTTAAATGCTTTTAAATCTGCAGCACACTGATAAGATGGTTTCAGTGATCTGTAATAAGATTGAAATTCCAGATGCAATTCATAACTAATCAATTGAAATTCTATTTATTTCAAGTTTTTTAAGTTCCCAGATTGGGGCTAGTTTAAACTTCAGTTATTTCTGCCTATAAATTTACTCTGTTGAATATTTAGCATAAATTTAATGTAGGCATTTTTATTTATATGCTTTGGGAGCTTTGTTACCTAATAATGTCTTTTTGTGGTAGCTCTTCTGAGAGTAAGAGTTGGTTCATCTAAAATATGCACATGTTCTTTCTACATCTACTACCTGATATTATTTCAAATCTTAACTACAATTTTATTATTTCAGAATTTATACTAAGTATTAAGGATATTCTTCTACACATGAAAAATCACTTAAATGTGAGAAGATGGCATTCTATGTGGATGTTAAATGAAATGTGTCTGATTTGGTATGCATTATTTCAAGAACTGTGAATGTGTGTTAATAACACTATAGCAATCACAAGGTGACTATAACTTGCATTTAATGCATTACAAAAGGGAGCAGGCAAACTTTCTAGGAGAAGCATATCATGTGAAGGGTTTCATAAAAGGACAATCTTAAACTTTATGGATTTTATTAAAACCATATGTTTTTTTGTTGCTAATATTAATTTGACACTTAATTGAAAACAGAGTAAGTTACAGTTGAACAAAGGATGCTCCAACTCCTGAGGGTTGCTGCCTCTATCTCTCATTGATGATGTTTGAAGGGTAAAATCTCTCTTCAGAATTCTTATTTTAAAAATGTTTTTTCCACACTAGGTTGTGATGTTCTGACAGGAGCATGCAGGGATTGATGTAGGAATGGGCTGGAGCTTTGGTGTGTGTGCTTTTGCTATACAACTTACAGTTCTAATGCCTGATGTAGAGATGATGGATTTCTCCTTTTAAACCTATCTTGTATTTACTCCTCTTGTATTATGAAGGCCCTCATCAATGATGTATGTTTCTGATGGGATCAGAAAATTCACACTAGGAAAGTACCTAACTTGGTTCAGTGTGAGCTCTCTTTGGAAGGTAGAGTAGAGCTTAAGAAGCCAGCTCTTTAAGAGTTGTATATCAAAGTACCTTTCCCTGTAAGGTGCATATAGGAGTCAAAGGTGAGAAATTTACCCTCTATCTTTTGTTTTTAGTGCCCCTATCATGTCTGGTGTGCCTTAAATCTTACCTTTAAATGAAGACTCTATTGATTGTTTACAGATAAAGTTTTACACTAGGACCAGATCGTCCATACGGTTGGTCTTCTGCAGTAATAATGTTAAATTCTCTTTTCTTTTAAATCTTCTTTTAGGGTCACTTAAGATTAATTCTTTCAGAAAAGCTAATGCTTTGGTACATGACTTAGTCTAACTTATTGGGTAATGCTGCTTCAAAAAATAGTTTGTCCTTCTCCCCATTCCCAAAATGAATGCATTCAGTCAGAAAAAAGAATTGCCCTGCTATTTATAGATGATTTCTAAGGCTTGAAATGGGAAAAAAGGGATGGAAAATCTCCAAGCCCAATGGTGCAGTGAATCCTCTGTGTTTGAGTTTCTTTTACCCTTATTATTGAAGCTAGTCAACTTTCATTGTCCTGTGGCCTCAAATTCAGAGTTTTTTAACTGTTTTATACCTCAAGTTGTTTTTCCATATGATTGAAGATTGAAATCTACAAATTATGTTAAATTTAACCTTTTTCCCTTGGAGAAATTGCCTCTGATATCTTGCTAACTTAATCTTAGTGTGTTTTAGGAACAGTTTTCCTTAAGAGGACAACTTCTCAGTGATCATGGTAGTTATCCAGTAAGAAACTTGCCACTGTTAATCAAGTAGATGTATGTCCTGTCCTTCTCTGCTTTCTCTGATTCTGATTCCTTAATTTGCAGTCATGTCTTAGAAATGGAAAAAGTATCCTCTGAGCTTTTAGACTTCCAGCAACAGCAGCCAGTGGGGCACCTTTGAGTCCCAGTGTGTTCTAGTCTTTCGTGTGTCCTCAAAGGCAGCAGAAGCGTTTCTGGGGTCACACTGATATTGTGTTAAAGCAGAGTTTTCTGCATGTTTTATGGTGCTGCTCTAAGATTCTCTCTCTATAAAACTGTGTTAATTGTTGGAGAATGAATTTTTCAAGCTTTTCATTGTGGAGGGTTTTTCCCACTAGGTGGTAATGGGCAATGGATCAAAATCCTATCCTTGGGGGCCGGCCCGTGGCTTAGCGGTTAAGTGCGTGCGCTCCGCTGCTGGCGGCCTGGGTTCAGATCCTGAGCGCGCACCGACGCACCGCTTCCCCGGCCATGCTGAGGCCGCGTCCCCCATACAGCAACTAGAAGGATGTGCAGCTATGACATACAACTATCTACTGGGGCTTTGGGGGGAAAAAAAAAATCCTATCCTAAATAATTGAATTTTCAATGTAATAGTCTGTGGAAACATCACTCCCTCTCCCCTGTGTCCGTCTCCTCAGAAGTTCTATCTGTGTCTTCATCTGCTCCAGCACATGTTTTGGACTCCTTTAAAGGTGACCATTCCTCCTTCCTCAATAGGTGTCTTCAGTGTGTGTTAACCATTTAAAACTAAATTTGACAAGTGGCTAAAAACTTACTTAGTCTAAGACTTGTACTTAATATATAGAAATTATAGATATAGCAACTATTTAAAAAATTACTCTGTTGACTGCTCTTTAAAACCACACTTGTATGCCAGGAGGCAGCAGGCTACACCATTGGACTCTTTACAGGCAACCAACCAACAGATGTGGTGGATGAAGTTGTCACATGGTAGTCTTGCCCAGCCTGGGCTGGGCTATGGGGAGCACTCCCTTCCAAGTGATTCAAGCTTCCACAATCTAGCCCAGGTCCAGTCTGGCTGGGGAGCATTCAGCCCATGTCTTGCCTCAGTGCCACCTTTTTCTGGGCAAGTAGACAAGAACTGACTTTGTAAGCAATGAGTACTTAGATAAATTTATAGTTGTAGTTGCTGAAGAGTGGAGAACGTTGACCATCACTAATTTAATTCTCCAATGTAAAAGCAATCTAGAGTAATGTGTGCATGTGCCCACACATGCCTGTGCTCTGGGGAGCTCTCACATTGATGGATCCATAGGCATCTGGGCTGCACTTTGAATGACACACTTGTGGCTTTATTAGATTCACTGTTGTTTTTTTAATTGTTGTTTGTTTCTTTTCATTAAAGAAAGGTTTAATCAGCTAGATCAGACAGCATCATTTTGTATTTAATGACAGAACTTTGGAAAATTACCCTTATTGATTGAGCTTGCATTGTGAAGCAAGCGCCTACAAAAGACACCTGTTCTAAGTGAAAGTTGTAGCTCTGGAGGCCAGCAGCACTCTGTGGAGTTTCAGAGCAGCCCATGGTCGCTCCAGTCAGTGATGCCTAGTTGTGTAGAGGAGAGGTGCTCTGTGCACGCTTCTAGGTGTGAGGGTATGCAACTTTGGATTTTAAAATTATGTACACGTACACACTTTATATATATGTATGTATGTATGAAAACATGAAATTAGTTTTCAAAAATGTGTGTGTTTAGTATTTTAGCTTAGTGCAACTATTTCCACATTATTTATTAAATTGATCTAAGACACTTTCTTGTTGACACCTTGAATATTAATGTTCAAGGGTGCAATGTGTATTCCTTTTAGATTGTTAAAGCTTAATTACTATAATTTGTAGTAAATTAACTTTTAAAATATATTTGAGCCCTTCTGTAGTATAATAGGGCTCTTTCAGGGTGGGAACGATTTTAATTTTCCAGTTGCTAATTGAATAAAATGGCCTCATTATGTATTTTGAATTATAGGATTTTGCCTCTGGGTCCCAGGAACATCTACTGGGAATGACTCTTTTAGGCAGATTATGATAATTTTTTTTTAAACCTAAGTAAATTGGGAAGCAGAGCATTTCAAATCCATATAGACTCCTATAACTCATATTCCCTAATTATGCGAAACAGATTTCGTTTTAATTTCATGTATCAATGTGTTGGAGAGGCAGACTTTTTTCCAATAATAAATAATATTGTGTATCTAAGGTTGCTATTCGGTAAAATAAATAGAAGTGATAAGTATTGAATGACTTGGCATATGTAGTGACAAGAGGCCAAATTTTTGTGAGCAAAATTTCACATACTCACTAATGGAGAAATTCAGTTTAGACCCCTAGACCCTAGAACCAAGCTGGCAAGTGACAAGAAATACATTATTAATAGGTGGTAAAGCAGATGCTGATTCTGTTCAATTGAACCCTATGATTAATTAAAAAGAACTTACCATCTCCAGAAAAGCAAAGGGAAAGAATATGTAAATCTCTTCTCTTTGATGGAATTTGGTCACAGAATAAAGCATTAGGGTTACTTCTAAACCAAGTCTTATAGATCTTGAAGCATGCTAAAATAGCAGCCTCTAAGTAATCATCATGTGATAAAGTTGACTTTCAGGAATGTCAGTATTGACCTCTCCTTGCCGCCTTTGCTCAGCTAAGCATAAATTGCCGTTCTAAAAAGAAACAAACAAAAAAACTCTCTAAATGAGCATGGAAAAAAAGCTCCCACCCAGAAATTCTAGTAATACTCAGTTTTGATCTCTTACTGCTTCCATGTGGGATTTCTTTTAAGCTTTTAACCACTGGAATTTTCTACCTGCTATGTTCCTCTTTGGAAAATATCTATTTGGAAATGCTGCCTTTCAAATCAATGCCATGATTATCCATACTGTTGAGTTTGTTGTTGCTGTTCAAGAAGTGTCCCCATTTTACAACTTTATGCACACACCTGGCACATCACTGACATGAGCATTCAACAGTACTGGGGTTGGGGCGGGGTGGGGCTCACCAACAGAGCTGGCCCAATTGGCAGTGCCTGAAAAGGCACCACCTTGAGGAGCAGATGTGGGGTTGGTAAGCACAGTTAGGAAAATTTCTATCTAGCCTCCGTTTTGAATGGTTTTAAGAAATTTTGTATATGGAGGATGGAAATGCTTATATATTTATTGAAAATCCTTTTATCTTATTTGAAATTAAAATTATTTGGTGAATAATGGTTTCATATTTGGGGAGGGTTTTGGAGGGGAGGTAAGGCCGCTGATCAGTTAAAAGCCTTGTTGATTCTACAGAAAGGTACTGTTAGTGTCTGATAGGATGCCTTTGTTTTGTACATGATCCAGATCTTTGTTTTGCATTTCTTTTATCCAAAATATTTAGGCATCTGACATTTTCAACCAAAATTTCAATTATATACTGTGATTCTTATTTGTTGCAATACATTAAAATTTCAGAGGTACTTTGGGGCTCAAAAGCTAGGATTTCTAAGTCAGTATGTGCATTTCACATAATAAAGCTGTTAATGGTGAGCAAAGTATTATATACTAACTAGATTTTTCCACATCTGTATAGTATATTATATGTATTTTGTGGTATTGAGATTATAGAAAGTTTAGAGTGTCAAACATGCGTTTAATGTGTATTTTTAAACAAATTTATGGCAATTAAAATATTTGGAGACAAGGGTATCACATTTCAATTTGTAAAGATCTTTTTAACTCTACTGTGTCATTAAGATGCTTTGTATAATGCCAAACCATAGCTGGAGAAACTAAGTTTAATAAATATCAAATAGATTTTCTGTATTAAAGTTTATAAACACTGTGCTCTTTACACTTCTTCAACTCTGACTTTGCCCTTTTCATGTAATTTCTGTTTTGTATTTTAGGGTCCAATGCTACTCTTCTTTAAAAGTCTGGTCCCACCAGTCTGGGTCTCGTTTTCTGGTTACAGACATTCTGAACTTGCTGGCCATGGGTCCTTTTGCATAGATCAGAATTTGCCCTGCTCCAAGAAAAATTTCAAACAAATCCTTTTTGCTGCTCTTGGTGACTTGGGATTTTTTTTTTATTAAACTAGATTTTTCTTCCAGTTCTGCATTCTGTTCAGTTATAGACAACGTTGGGCACATCCTCAGGTAGTGAGTGCCAGCAATGCCCTTCTTTGACACCTCACTGAAGTGTTCTTTACATAAAGTGAAGGGCTAAGACCCAGGGTCACAGCTTATGAACTTGCCAAGGCTGATCACATAACTATTACTAAACTTTTGCCTTTAGCCTGCCATTGTGTTCTTTATTTCTTGAAAAAATGTTAACTCTCACTACACTTTCCAGATTGAGAAGTTAACACATCATGATTAGGCAATGCTGTTTTATTCTATAGTATACAAATGAATCCTCCTTTCCCTCAAAACCTTGAATTCCAGACTGCCAAAATTTCAATTTCAGACTTTTAATAGTACACATAGAAAAATAAACTCTAAATTGACAAGTTTAGTTATGCTTATCTAGATATCAACATTCTAAGAAGAAACAGACACCAATTTAAAGCATACATCTGTCTTTAAATATTAAAAATACAAGATTGCTTTACTTAAGTGTCTCCAGCTAAAATGCAATTAATCAGTATTCCATAGAATGGAGCATTGTTATAGGTGAGTGCTGGCTTCTTTTCCCCTGGTATGTACATCATTCCTGGGCCACACTTAGGGAACAGCGTCTTTTTCTAAGGGAGAAGAAAAGGTGGTTTTTAAGACAAAGGTCTAGCCATGTCCAGAGCCACTTCTGCTGCATTTCCCGTCCTCTGCTTGATCTATCCAGTCTCAGGGTAGACCGAAGAAAAGAAAGGCACCACTTTTTCATGGTACCTGTGTGGAGCTGTTCTTGGCTCTTAACTCCTGAGAGATTGTCTTCCGGGGAGCTCCCAGCCTCAGCCCAGGCAGTCCTCCATCCCAGTTTTATTCTTAGGCCTGTGTGTGTACTGATCTCTCCTCTGCCTGGCTTCCCAGGCCTCTTTTGCCCAGCCCTGCTCTCAGGTTTGTGGAGTACCTGCATAGCCTCGTCATACATTCAGAATCGTCCCGGCAAGAGGCTCCAATGGGCCTGAGGGAAACCCCTCTCCAAAATGGAGTCATTCTCCGTGGCCTTCTCTTTGCTGAACTCAGTTCTGTTATTGGGGAGCCATCTACCTGTAGGGCAAAGACAGATTCACCTCAGGTATGGAAAGGTGACACCCTTGGAAGAATGATCACCCCCAGGATGCTGTAGACTCAGAGCAGAGGAACCATTCCTCAGGACTGAGTCTGGCTCTCAAGTTCTGCCTACAATTCCACCACCACCACCATCTCCCAACATCCACATATATATCCTTTCCTTACCTGGCCCAACAGCAGCAGACAGATCATGAGCACTGCAAAGAGTTTGAGGTGCCACATCTTGACAGAGGGCGGATGTTGGAGCCGGAGACCCAGGAGCAGTTCTCACTTCCTTTTATTGACTGAGATCTGCCTCTTCTATGGTTGCCGGGTGAGATGGGGCCAAAGTTTATATTTGCAGTCAGGGTCCATTTAATAAGTTAATGTCTACCAGAGGAATGTGCTCAAGGCCTGTCTTTCAGGCACGTTGTATTTACTGATCCCTCATCTGGACTATGAGTGATTATGTTGCTGGCTGGGATGCTTTTCACCCATTTTACCAAAAGTCAGCACTACTGCCTCCTTCCCTTTAAAAGCCACGTGAAGCCATTGAGGGAGACCAGGCACCTAGCCATATTTTGATTCCAAAATAGCTCAGTGAGATCACTCTAATCAAAATAGAATCCTAATAATGAGGTCTTCACAAAGTGTTGACCCCTTTCAGCCTTGTCTAGGAAAGAAGCACTGATCTATTGTGTTACAGGCAATTGGATAAGGCCTTTATCTCCCTGCTGTGGGAAGATGTTTTAGCAAACATGGTCTACAGTGTCCCAGATACCCCATTTGTATAGGTGGACTGTCACTCTAATTATCTGCTCCAGGTCATCTCCCTAGAAGAATGGAGACCTAGCTGTGAAGAGTTCAAAGTCTGACCTACCTGCCCTCTCCCAGGGGAAGGGCAATCAGGACTGATGTGGGACTTACTTGAACTATGGGTGAATTGAATGAACAAGTATAGGTTGATTCTTTGTTTTGTTTTTAAAAGCGTGAATGAAGAGGTAGCAGGGGCTCCTGAATCAGTGGAAGAGTTTGGTGGTGGCGACAAATCACATTACAAGCCTTGAACTATGGGCTTTCCTCCCAGTAGCTGAGTGGGGTCTTCTACAGCACGTATCCTTCTAGCAGCCTCAGGGAAGTAGGCATACAGCTGAGACATCTTCAAAGCTCAAAATATCCATCAGCTTAAGTAGGAACTGCTGCAGGTTTCTAGACCAAGAAATGGCATGTACCTAAACCACGAGTAGTTATGAGTACTCATTAAATGACATGGGCATTGTAGTAACCTTGGGGAAGGGTGTGAATTCTGAGTAAGGAGATTTATAAGACTTCAGATCTTCCTATGACCTGGAAGGATAAGCCAATAAGACAAATGCAGCGAGATTCTTTTTCTGCCTGGTGTCTCCCTGAAAATGTGGCTGATACCCCTTCCCAAGGCCTTTCTCATCTTCAGAGGTTGGCTATTTGGTAAGAGCCTGCCTATTGCCCAAGGAAAAGTGGAGGAGATGCAGCACAGCTGAAGGTGGAAGAGGAAGGTTGCCAATCCTCTTACCAAGGGAGAAGAGGGTGGTATGGTGGACCTCAGAGTTGGGATTGGGCAGAGTGTGACTCTACAGATCTGTCTGTCCTGGTTCCAGTCCTCTCAGGACCATGGAGCCAGGCCTGGAGGGAGATAGCACTGTTTGCACTCGAGGAACATTGAGAAGCAGACCTATGCCAAACCCAGTCCTGCAAGTTTGAGACTAGTTAGCTGCTCCTTCCCTTTACCCGAGCTTGGATACTGAATGACCCCAGGTGGGGGCTTAACTAGGAACTTTTGTGGGGTGGGGAAGAGGTTATGTGGTGACCTAGTGAACATTGGGTAAGAACACAAATCCGATTAGATAAGCAAAAGACTGAACAACGTGATGTCCTAGAGCCAGTTGGGTCTCTGGACTTGGTGCCAGCCTCTCCTTAGCCAGCCTGGAGTGATGTGCCAAATGCGATTTGGAAACTGCTTGTTCCAAAGAAGGGTACTTTTTCCTAATCCCAAACTAGACTTTTGTGTTAATTTATAAAGTCAATACCACAGCCGAGCAAAGGGCCTGAGGCCCCTGGCCCCCTGTGCATAGGGGAAAAAAGAACCATTAATCATTATGAGTATGACAACACTACAGAAGCATTTGTGGCTCAAGCCTCTATCTCATATGCCAGCTCTCCTCCCAAAAGAAAAAACCCATTAGTTACTACCTGTGGAAGGAACCACTTTTAGGGAAAGTATTTCAACATATATCTACACAAACTCTGTCGTTGTTTTATTTAAATTAAATATGGAGGGCCGGCCCCGTGGCTTGGTGGTTGAGTGCGTGCGCTCCGCTGCCGGCGGCCCGGGTTCGGATCCCGGGTGTGCGCCGAGGCACCGCTCCTCCGGCCATGCTGGGGCCGCGTCCCACATACAGCAACTAGAAGGATGTGCAGCTATGACGGACAACTATGTACTGGGGCTTTGGGGAAAAATAAATAAATAAAATCTTTAAAAAATAAATAAATAAATAAATTAAATATGGAGGGGCCGGCCCAGTGGCATAGTGGTTAAGTTCATGTGCTCTGCTTCAGCAGCCCGGAGTTTGTGGTTTTGGATCCTGGGTGAGGACCTACACACCGCACAACAAGCCATGCTGTGGTGGCAACCCACGTACAAAATAGAGGAAGACTGGCACAGGTGTTAGCTCAGGGGCAATCTTCCTCCAGCAGAGAGGAAGATTGGCAGATTGGCAACAGATGTTAGCTCAGGGCCACTCTTCCTCACCAATTAAACCCAAATTAATTAATTAATTAAAGATGGAGCAAAAATCAAACTTAAAAGCAAGCGGCATCCGGATAGCATTAAGCTGAAGTGACGGCGGTTGTCCACAGCCATCCCACACTACTTTAGTTGTGAAGGCCTATTCCTGAAATTAAATAATTTCATGGGCTCTCTGCAATCAAGTATTTTGCTGAACGAATAAACACAAAACTACATGTTCCTTCCTCCAGCAGAAAGGTCTAAGCAGCCTTTAAGAACTTCAGCCATAAGGAGAAAGAGTGCTTGGCTGGAAGGCAGGAGCCAGGGGTGTAGGTAGGGTAACTGACCACAGGCCAGCCCTTCCCCTCTTTGGACGTTAGTCTTTTGTTCTGCCAATGAGATGGGACTAGACCTCTCAGGCACTGACATTTGGGGGTTCAGGTGATTAATTTACAAGAAGAAAATGAGGCTGAAGCACCTTTGATAGCTTATAGATTGGTAACTCTGAATACAGCTCCCAGGGATTTTCTGCTTCTGAGGTAAGTGCTTAGGCTGAAATGGGAGGAAGAGGGTACAGCTGCACGAGCAGCTGTTTGAAACACATTCCAGGTGGAGAGGCAATCATTAGGGCTTGGCAGTAAATGGAAACTTTTTTGCTGTCCCTGAGCAGGAGGTGCCTAATAAAAAATGAAAGACTCTGAAATGGAAAAAACTTTTCCCGGTAAAACTTCAATAAAGGGTCAAAGTGCATTCATTTGCTCTTTTGCTGGCTGGAACTGGCTCAGACTTCTGGGCCTGCACTAGGTAGGCCTGCATCTCGGGGACTGCATTGACAGACTGAAGAGAGTTCCCTTTGCCACATTCTGCAGCCCAGAGATAAAAGCCCTTGTGGGGGCAGGAGCACTGCTGGGGAGACAAGGGGCTAAATGAACGAGTGGCTACGCCCCGGCAGCAGGTGAAGGAGCGACACCCAGGGCTGGCGGCTCCAGGTGGATGGGTTATAGGCATTGAGGCCTACAGCAGCGGTCCCTCTTCCTTGAGACTTTATATTCTTTTTGGATTTCTACAGATAGAATAATCCCTAAAATGACCCCAGATCCCTATCACTTACAAGAGCACTGAGATATTACAACTCACCACATTCCATGCCCGCTGCTGCCTCAGTGCCCTGCTACACAGAGGTCCATGCCCCCAAGCTTACAGAGGGAAGCTCTCTGGTGAGAGACAGGCTTAAAAGCAGCGTTTAACAATTTTATCCAAAAGCAGAAGCTCAGCACATGAAGGACTTACAGCAGGGTCTTCTCAGTAGGGCACTCCTGGGATAAAAAGGATTCAGACCAACAGTCTCAGTCCCTGGTCTGGGCTGAGAAAGCGTAGGTTTGATTTTGAGCTGGTATCTCCAAAGGAGTCAAAGAACCAGGAAGAAATAGCATAAGGGTAAAATGAAGCCAAAAAGATAGGAGAGGGTGGCCATCTCCCCTAGGAACTTGGAGCTAAAATCAGAGGGAGAAAGACAGAGATTAATGGCCTGTCAAGGTAGTGGTCCTCCCCTGGCTTGTGAACCTGTTGAAACTACACAAAATGAAGGATGGCATTTACACCTTCTTAAGGTCTACAGCTTTCATCAGATTCTCAAAGGAGTCTGTGACCAAACATGTTGCAGATCAGGCAGCAAGTCTCAGGAATAAACTTGGACAAAGAGCCAAACAGGAAAATTGGACCATCTTTGGTGAGGCAAGGGTTTTCATCATATAACTGTCCTTTGTTAAGCCTGCACCACCCTGCCAGACTCTTACATATCACTCATTTCACTGTCACTGCAACTGCTTTGTAATAACACATCTATTTTACGGGTGAGAAGTTCAAAGCTCAGGAATGCAGGTTTCTTGCCTGCATCACACACTAAAGCAGCAACAGTTAAAGGCTATGGGCCCAAGTCTGCCCAACTGAGCTGTTCCTCCTTATCCTGCCTCACAATCAGTGCAATTTATCTTGCTGATTTTTTTTTCTGTCTTGAAGTTATTTTAATTTTGGTTCCTAAAAGGCAATATCAATCATTAGAAGAAAGATATAGCCTGGGCCAGAAGCTGAGCTACACTGTGAGTTGCCGCTCTGGATCAGCAGGAAGTGTCCTTAGAAGAAAGGAAGTTTCTAGTAATGGAGCAAGGAACCGGAAGCTTAAAACTGCCAACACCTACCCCTACCATCTCCTGGTGAAGGGAAAAGGGTTACCTTTTCTACTAAAAAGATAATTCAAAGTTCTCTAGAACAGGGGTAAACTTTTTCCACAACGGGCCAGAGAGTAAACATTGTAGGCTCTGTGGGCCATATGTGGTTAAAAACCACTGTTAGCAACCTGGTACAAACACAGCAAGTTTGTTGACCCCAGCTCTAGAGGCCAAGAGGTCACCTCACCCTCTCCTCTTATAGTTGACTTCCCCTCAGGCTAAGGAAGGCCTGCCTTAGGAGGAAAGGCACTATAGCATAGCTTTAAGAACATAAAGTTTAGTGCCAGACTCCATCATTCACTAGCTGTATAATTTTGGGCAAATAACTTACCCTCTCTGTGCATGTATCCTCATCTGCAAAATGAATGTAATAATGATACTTAAAAGGTAAAGTTTAAAAGAGCTTATTTGTTCTGTAAAGGGCTAAGAAGAGTACCTGACACATAGTAACTACAATATAGTTACTAGACTACTGTTTTAGGAGCAGGGGGCCCGGAACCAACACTCCCCACAGTCCATGCCACCCACAACTGGTCAGCTGCAGGAGTAGATGCAGCTACTTTCCTGCAGATTATAGACCAAGGGGTGA